GAGGGAATGTCAAAGTTGCTTCTGCCATAGCTACCTCATAGCTCTCAACCATTTTTGGTTTTAGGCTCTTTGAGAGCTAATTGTGCCCAGTGGATTTCTTATTCATAAAATAACCCAATCTCTTTTGAGTCTTAATTAAGGCTTAATTAAATCTTCCGTGGTCCTCCTCAGTTTGTTTTCACTCACTAAATCTATCAACATCATTAAAGCTTGTATCATTCCAATCAAGCTTCTAAACGTAACATTCTTCTCTATCAAATATTTTGTTATTTTCTTTCATTTTATTTTTCTGTCCTTTAATTCTTAAGCCACTTCTTTTAGTAAGTAGCACTGAATAATGTTTTTGACTCTTTTCATCTTCTCTCTTTGACCCTTCTGTACTTCTTTCCTTTGTGGGAGCCTCTAGCTTTTTCTGCCGTTAGCTTATGAAGGATATATTTATCAGTTAATATGTAAAAAGCTGGTTTAGGGAAGTTAAACACAATTACTAAATTTTGATTAAGAAAGGAATTATATTTTAGCAGACCATCATTTTATGAGCAAATATGAAAATGTGGGTCCTTTGAGGTTGATATACCCCTTTGCTTTTAGAGTGCCCATGATTTTCTTCCAAGTATTAACACCAGTTTCTTCTTTGTATTGGTATTGTTTCTTCAAATGTTATTTTAAAGGCTCTAAGTTGTAAATCAGGGTATTGGAGATTGTGGGAACAGTAAGTTATGTAAAGTCAGATAAAGTTACTTCTTCTCTCTATGTAGGTTATTAATCCAGTGTTGCATTTGATTGTGGGGAAATGACTTATGAAATAAAATAGTCTGAAATGTTGGTAAGGTTCATGAAAATGTCAGGAAGCTGCATCCATCATTAACCCTTCAAGCCTCTAGCCTGATACATCTTTTTCATTATACATACATGAGATTTTTGCACATTGTTTTGAAAAGGTTTTCAGTGAAAACTTACTACTTAAGAACCCTGTATGTTTTAAAAAGTGTGCCATTACGTGCAAGTACATGAAATTGTAATGTAGTTAAGCAACTGTTGGTTATCTAGTTTGTTACATATAATCTTTCTTGTTTTGCATCTTTAGTGTATGCATTTTTGTAGGTATGTAATAGTTTTGAATTTTAAAGAAAAAAGTTCATGGGGTTTTTTTGGTGGGTTGGTTTTGGTTGTGTTTTTTTTTTTTTTTTTTTTTTTTTTTTTTTTTTTTACCTTTTACAAGAAAGGCTTTTTTCCTGTAAAACTTAAGAGATTGAAAATATGAGTGTTTTGAACAGGTCTTCAAATTAACTTTTCATACCAGATACATAGTGCTTGCTTAAGCTGAGAAAGAAAGTAACTCTCTGTAGTAAATTTTAAAGGCTCCTTACAGTATTCAGAATGCAGCTGGCATGGTCTTTAGCATAAAGCTGAGGGTCCAGCAGGTGGTGCTGGTGGAATACAGTTAATGTTGATTTAATGCTACATGAAGTGTCTTAACAAATGTGAATGAGACTGGTGCAGTATACGAAAAGTTACTTTCTATGCAACAAGCCTGTTTGTACAATTAAAAAGAGAAAACTGAAATCTTGTGTAGTGGCTTTGTGGTTTAGGCATTTTAATTTTAAGTTAGATATAGATTCTGAGGAAAAAAAGGTCTAGCTGTTGGATTGCGGATGTGGGAAGCAGACTATATGGAGGCATAGTCCCAGATTTTTTACCTGCTTTTTTTGTTAATTCAGAGAGCAGTTTATGAAACTTGTCCATTCATGTACTATAAGCATATTATACTGTAACCACTTGCCTATTTAAATGGCAAAATAGCTTTTTAATAATGTTGGTTTTGGTCAGTGCAAGAGTCTTTCCTCTTAAGGAACGCATGAAATAAGGATCTAATTTTATGAGGGCGTGGGGGAGTCTAGTTTTCTGGTTTAATCCATTATGTAGCTTAAAAAGTCAAAGTAAAAATAAATTCTAGTTCTGAAGATATGCAGATTTTTAGATACAATTTTTACCAATTCTTATGTAGGCTTTCTTTTGAGTCTTGAAAATTGTACCTTTTAAAAAAAGGGGAGGGGTTAGAGAACAGTGTGACTGCAGTAGTTTGGAATAAATTTCTGTTGCCTGCTATTTGAGCAGGTTTGGTATTGTCTTAATGTACCCTGACATAAAATATGTATATTCCTTGAAATCATGATGTAGAGCATTTTACCTCAAAGTAGCTTAAATCATCCTATATAACATCCTCTTTTAAAGAGATTTATTATAATTTGGAAAACACTTGGGTCTTGTCTCCTGTCTAGTCCAGGAGCAAAATCCAGAACAACTGCAAAGAAAAATTCCCAAGCCTACTTTGCTTGCAATCTTAGTGTTTGTGAGCAAGCTAAATGTTTTAGCTTTCTATGTGCCAGTGTCACATTAGTAACCTCCTCACTGTAGCTAAAACCAAACTAAATAAAGCCACATGACAGCCACTGAAGTTTGCTTGACTATGGTTGAACAAACCAGGGGATGGTTTCTTTGGAGTTCATGGCCCTACACATTTACTCCGGGTAACAAATTTGTTTAACGTCTGGGTTTTACTGGTTTAGGCGCAGCGGTATGGGGTTCTGCATGAGCAGAAATTCTTCTCCAAGTCTGCTACACCAGATACTTCATAGAATAACTGCACACACACACAAAACCATCTCAGAGTGGATGTCAAATATCCAGTGTATGCTGTTTCTGAAAGTGCTTTTTGTATCTTGTTTTCCTGCTTGAGATAACTTTTTACTTGGCTTCACCCTCCTTCTGCTCGCCCCAGTGTATGAATGTTCTTGCACTTGAGGAAAGGAAATGTGCTCTCTTCAAATATTTCTTTCTCCCATCCTGAGTTTATTTTTATTTACTCATTTTAGCAAGGAGGTTTTGTATTACCTATGTTAAAATTTGGCATGATTCAGTTACTACTGTAGAACAGTAGTGTTACTGCAGTCCCCTCGCTTCTGAAAATTGTCAGCATAGCATTAATGAGAATCAATAAACTCTCAAGTGTGTTAAAATCCCCATCCAGGACACTTTGTTTTTTCACAGCATAAAATACAGGGAGGGATCAAGCAATAAGCTCTGTGCAGTGATATAGCTAATAGTACAACATCGTAAAAATGTGTGCAAAACACTGATTTTCTTTTTTTTATTTAAGTGTAATATCAATGTATTTGATTGAAAAACTGCACAAGAGGTAACTTTTTGGATCTGTTTTAATACAAAGATTGAAGAGACATTAGTGAAAACCTGTTAGAGGTATGTGTTAATGTGTGTGGTTTTTCTGGAAGCAAAACCTAAAAAGGGAGCCCTTGCCAGATGCTGCCTTTATAAGGTGTGAACAGGTTAAGAAATACTCTGCATTGTTCTTTAAACTAGCTATTAATCAGAAAAATCAGTTTGATGAGGCTTCTGTCAAGATTTTCATTTTCAAGCAGTAAGGTTTTTGTGATGTGGCCATATTTCTGAACTCTGTTATGGGACTGTTTCTTTATGTCATTTATAATAATGGAATGCCCATAAGGCTGAATCTTTTTAAAAGACCATGTAAATAGTTTCATTTTCACTTGCCCCATTCAGCTGGTCTGAGCAATTTTTTGCTCTGTTAAACCAGTTGTTTGAATGGGTCTGGAGTTACAATAATACAAAAGAGAACAGGATTTTATTCTGTGTATTTATCGAAAGATTTGGTTGGTCTGTAATACTGAAAGGTTCTTTTGAGTTCTGAGTAACTATAAAATCTGACTTGTGTACTGCACTCTACCAAATTCCAGTTGGGGGGAGGAATCTGTAAAAACAAAAGTAAGAAATTCTTACCTTTTATGTTTGCATTTTATACTTTTTACTGTTAACGTGCTTGAACATTGAATAGAAACGTGTTTTATCTCTGAGCTATTTATTCTCCAGCTTTTCCTAAAGGGAAGGGCTTCTAGGTATCAGTTTTTAATTCAAAAATTCAACCTACTGAATATTCTTAAAAGGTAAATTTATAGTCTAATTTTAAAACAATATAAAGCAAAGTTATAATTTTTATTGAAAGGTCTGGTTCTTAAGGAGGGAAACCACAACCCTTATGGCAAAGATAGTTATTCTAAGAGTGGAATAGTAAAAGTAAAAATAGTTCAGAAACTGATAGTATGCCTCTCCATTGCAGTAGCTCTACGATGCTTTAATTATTAACCTGAAATTCAAGTTCTCTTGAAGTTACTTGAAGAAATATACTGTTGATTCAGTGGTGTCAAAATTTCACAGCTGAAAATAAACGTACACTGTGAACACTCGATTGCCGTTTTCTCTTGAGTGGAACTAGAGCACTCAAGGGCTTTTTAATTGTGTTGTGATTTGAATTGGAGTTTATCATCATTACTGAATGAGTTTGAGGTGTGTGGTAGATACATGAACTGTAGCTTAAGTTACCGAAGACATGCAGTCTGTGTTTTTCTTTGAGGACGGTAGTGAGAGCAGGAAGAATACGATCTTAAGTGCCACTGAGAAGCAAGCTGCAGCTCTCTGTAACAGGTCAGGGTTTTTCTGAGTATCTTAGCCAGCTAACTTTAGACAATGTGTGTGCTCACTCATGTCTTGGATTCTGGTAATAGTTTAACTGATGTTAGACTTTTGAAATTGTCAGGTGGGATTTTGGTTTGCTTACAGAAGCTAGTTTGCCTATTTACTTCTGGTAATACTTGTTCCTTGTGTTCATTTTCTCCGTTGTCAGATTACTACAGGGCCTGATATCACACACAGTGTGTATTTATAATAAGGTCAGAATTGCAAAAGAATGGATCTTGCAGGTCAGGGGGTGTGTGGTTTAGTTTAAATGGATGTATTTTTCTTTGTACTGTCTTTCTTTTGTAAGTATTAAGTTGACTGAGAATATTTTTAAAACATGAGGCTTTAAAAAAACCACCTAAGTATCCAGTTAAGTCACTTGCTAAGTCTTTCAGTCATGTTTTTCAGTTGTGTGGTATTTTAATTATTTACTGTTTCGTTTTCAGCATTGTCAGTGAAGCAGGAGCATCTATCTACAGCGTCAGTCCAGAAGCGTCCAAGGAAATGCCAGACCTGGACCCTAACCTGCGAAGTGCAGGTATGAAGTATATTTCATTTTCTCTCTATTTCAACATACAGCTCAAGTCTCAGTTCTCAGACTGCATTGTTTATAATATTAAGTATAATAATAGTCAAAAGTATAAAAAGTGAAGGGTTTGGATGTTTTGTTTCTAAACTAATTCTTCTATCATTTCACATTTGAAGTCCTAGGTATGCAAATCGATGATATCTTCTGAGGCCTGTAATGTAGAAGTCCTTGTGGGTGTGTTCCTGCAGCAGGCTGGTACAGGAGAATTTATGGGGATTAATATTAATGATGAATTGCATAAACTTTCATAGTTGGACAGGTCCATACCCACAAGAGCTAGACCTTCCCTCTCTTCTCTTGTCCTTGTATGTACACAAACATCTCCAACAATAATTAAGCACTTCAAGGGCTGGAAAAAAAGGTAAGAATAGAACACGTAATTTAAAGGTGTGCATTCATTGTGATCACTTTGAACTCTTTAATGTAGCTGAATATAGTCCTCAAGAAATACTATTGAGTTTTCTTTCTTTTAATTACCTACTTCAGCATAAATGTTACTGAGGTATAATACAGCCCAAGTTCTTAGAAATGTACAAGTGTTGTCACTGTTATAATTTTCAGTGTTTGGTTAAAGAACAGTCTTTAAAGATCAAATTCCTAGCAGTTTCACTAGCATCCAGATTCTACTCATGAGTTTGGTTTATTGGGAAACAGCTGTAAAGTAAGGTCTGAGGTTATTTTTTGATTACTTACTTTGTGTATTTTTTATTTGCATGTCTTTTTGTATCTCTTTACCTCAGATTTTATTTTCTTCATTTTCCTGCAATTTGCTGTCATACACAATCAAATATGGCATATTTGTAAATAGTCGTATAAATCTTTTCCAGTCAGAATTATACTGTTCTTAATTTTAATGTTACTCTAGGAGGCTACCAGTCTGGAAATTCTTAGGAAGGTGTAGAAGTAGATCAGCAGAAAACAAATTTGAACTTTGGTGGTATTTGGGGGTGAAACTTTCTAGAATTCCCCATGTTCCCCTTTCCTTTTATTTCCAAGAAGGGGAAAAAGGGATTTATGTTAACTCTGTTTCAAGTGAATGTTTTTACAGGAATATTCTTTAAATGTCTGTATTAGCCCTTCCTTTTACAGGACAGGCCTCCAGCTTTTTTTTCCTTGACTCTTTCCTCCCTGCCTGTGAATGTTCCCTTGTGATTATTTCTTACCTGGGCCACGGAGGTTTTGAACATGCCATGGTATGGCCAGAGCAAATATTAGGCATGTGATGTTTCCATATTTGTGACACATGCCACTAATCTTCCCTTGGGCCAGCATTTTTTATGTTGCTGATACATTAACTGTGGGTTTAGAGTTGATGTAAATGAACAAAAAAACATTGAAAAGGAGGAAACCTAATTATGAACAATATACTTTTCCAGATGTACATGATTTTCCTTTTTTTCTGAAGTTAATTTTTGAACATTTCAACCACTTTTATTTAGTGTTGTACATCAAATACAGTAAATGAAAATCAAATTTGTAATACATGACCAATTTCAGTATTAATTATCTAGAGTTCATAATTTCTCCTTTATTGCTAGGAATTGCTTCAGGCATAACTTAAGCGCTGTTTGCATCTGGTTGGAAAAGCATCAGCAATTTTAATGTGCCGTAGCAGTACCATAGCATGGATAGAAATTGAAAAAGGGTAAGATAGAAAGTGAAAAATAATAGCTTAGTTCCATGGATGTTGGCTGTTCTGGAACTGACAGCTTGAAGTATATTTATTAAAGTGGAGGCTTTCTGGAAGTTTTAGACTTTCTTCTTGACGTCTTCTAGTGTCAATTTGTAATTAGCTGCACTAAAGCTGTGGACATTTTTTTTTAAATCTGAATATAAAAATGTGACATAACATTAGAAGGAAACATTAACTGATGTTTGAGGGGGTTTGCAAACTTTCTTCTTGACTAGCTTTTACTTTTGTACCATGGATTTTCTTTTAATTTGCAGCAAACAGAAATGTGACATGGTGCAAAGCTGACTTGCTTTTTATTTTAATTGTTGTGTTACATCGTGTCAGGTTCTGTGCTTACATGACAGCATTTAGTACATTAAAGGAAGATGACAGCTGCATGATGAAGTGTGACATTTATAGTTAAAATAAAAGGTACAACTGACGTGAGATATCTGTGATCTTAACGCAGTTTGCCACTTTAACATTTTTCTCAACACAGGCTTTGCAGACGGGTTTGGGGTTTTTTGAATTACGCAGGTAGGCCTATGTTTGTTCATTAGGTATGTAAATGTAAACTATTAAATAATGAATATTAAATGAGAGCTTACTTTCACATCTTGTGGTGTAATCTCTGTCATATTTGCAGTGCTGTTTAGCAACTGTTGGTAGTAAGCTTTCACTTGATACAAAGAAATAGAAGTTACCAATCCTGGTAAAAATATTAGTTTATTAATTTCTTCTTGTCTAAGTGTTGTATACAGGGAGAAAATCAGCAACTTTTAGCATTTTTTTGGGGATGCTAATTAAAGATATTAAGGCAAGAACTCAACTAGTTAATATTTTTTTTTTTCCCTTTGAACTGTCTTTTAAAGGTCATAGATGACATGGGTTTGTAATAAATGATTGAGAAAGATCTCATTATAAACTAATGGTGTATGTATAAACTATAGTGGAAATAGTTTATGGTCATATAGTATACGTGTAGTCGTCTATACAGCACTTTTAGCCAAAATTGCACTTGGGGGGTAGGGAGGGAAAAGCTCATTTATAATTCACTGCTATCTACAGTGCAGAAATTGCAATAAGGTCTCTTCAACTTCAGAAATGTCCTTCAGAGATGGCTGCCTTCTTTTTGGCACTAGGCAGTAACAGATTCTCATATGAATTCTTTACATTGATACAGGTTGTTTAAAAATTTCATAGCACCAAATCTGGATATTTCACAAAAGTGTAGAAGCTTCTGTACAGCCACTCCAGTTCCTATATACTCTTGTGGACTCAACTAAGTAGACAGTAAAGAACGTGATGAAACCTAGTTACTTGAGTGAGAAGGTGTACATACCCTTCTGACAGTCATTGTAGGATTAATGAGCAGAACAGCTATTTCTCAGCATCACAAAATTAGGAGATAAGAGGCTTTATAGGCCAGAGCAGTAAAAGGATTTCCTACTTGATAGGCTGAGGAAGTTCAGCTGCAGCAGATTAGGAGGATTCTGCCTAGAGAACAAGCCACTGGAGTTCAGTAACAAGGGTTTTGGGATGAACTTGTGATAGGGTTTCAGCCTGACAGAAGGGAATGCAAATGTTCCTTGAGTTCTCCTTACCAAGAGCTGTGTTGAAGGACAAGCTGAAGATACAGGGTGGGAATATTTGTAGGGGAGAATGGACTCCCTATAAAGAGTGCTTAGCAAGCCAGAAAGATCGATCATCTTTGTGAAGCTTATGAAGATGTGCTTACTCAAGGCTTTGTGAGTGCCTGCTCTAGGGTTAGTGGAATGGTAATGAGGGAGTTGTGAGGCTGGATGGGTGACTGCAGTTCTGTTTCTGCCCTGGTGTGTGTCCTCTGGCCACCCTCTTAGAGCAGAATTCAAATGTTTAATTTGGTGGAGTTTTCTTTAAGCTATCGAATTCATACTTACTTGGCTGGCCTGTTTTGTTTTGGTGATTTGTGTTTTGTTTAGGGTTTTTGTTTGGGGGTTTATTCTATTTTTTCTTTTCTTTTTTCCCTAACATTTCATATTTAACCTCTGATTGGCTTTTATTCATGGCGACTTCAAGTAGGAGTTTTTCACGATAACTCATCCGTTAAGATCATCTGGATTAGTTTGTGGTCTCTGTGGTTGAGACTTGCTTCTGCCTTTTTTTTTAATGGAAGGCCTGGATGCAAGTTTCCCTTCAAAGATGCTGTAAGTAAGAGTTCACTGAGCACAGCACTTTGCCTTGCAAGTTTACCAGTAATTCTCCTTGTCATTAGTTGTCTTTCATTATCAGAGCAGTTGAGAAGACTGTATTGATGTAATATTCTTTGCATGGGTAAAAGAAAAAAGCTAAACTCAGTGGTGACAGGCATTCCTCCTTTAAACTGATGGACTCTGTGACTGTCAGTGTTGACTTGGTGACTTGGTTTTGATTGCTGTCACTGGGGCTGTGAACTCTGGAATTAAATGGTTTTCCAAAGGTTGATATCTTATTCGTTGTACCTCCACCCTGTCCTGTATAGTTTTGCCCAAGAGTTTATTTTGTTGTGCTGAACCTGTATTCCTGATGAATATTAGGCTTCTAGGGTGAGAAATAAAATGAGTCTGTGCAGGTGCTGGTGTGTAGACACTGCCGCACTTTCTGTTTTTTCTCTCAAGATAATGCTTTTCCACTTCTGCAGTTGTTGCAAATGCATGCTGGCTTGAACAAGGTTAGCTAAGCTAAATCGGAAGGCTGTGGTGGGATAGGTAAAGCGTATAGAAAGTATAAGCACATGTGACTCATGCAGAAGGACTAACACAGAAATATGGATTTTATGTACTTCCTGGATGCCTGGAAACTTGCTAAGGCATGGTCAGCTAATGGTGGTTTAGTTGTTGTCCTTAGTACAAGGAGAATAAAGGATACACTAATTGTTTGGCATGTACTCACATCAGATTTTTTTAGTTCTGCTGCTTCTCCACCTTTTGAAGTGGATACCATGATGAAGTGAATGTCACTTAATAACTCCAAGAACCAGAGGAAACTGCTGAATTTGGCGTGATGGTGGAGAACTACGATGAGGCAGTAGTCATGCTGGGATTTTACCCTGGTTTCAATATACGCTCAAGTTATATTAAATGAGAAATGCCTTCATTTCATTAAATTGATAAATTACCTTTCATTTTGAGATGACTGCTCTAACAAATAAGCAATCTCTCTTCTTTCACTATTTAAAAAGATAAATAATGTGCTTCAGTGAACTGATTTATAAAAATGCAGACAAACTTGAATATGTAGAATTCTTTAAACACACGCT